TCCTTGACTTGGAGAGGTCAAAATTGCCAATTTTCAAAAGAATAAGTCAACCCCAGGAAACAGACCTCTTTGTAAGTAGGTAAAATATTGCCTATTTATCTATATATTTACTTATTCTTATTCTTGCTTTATCACTCCGATGATTTCGAATCCGTTCTTTCATTCCGTTTCCTTTGATTTCATTTTATAGTCTCGCAAGCGGAAATGTTTTTGTTTCATTGGCGCCAGAGCCGATAAACTGCATCGAATATTAAAATTAAGTGGCCATTGCTAGATTATTTCAATTTATTCATTATGCTCGCTCAAAGAATAGGATTTGATTACATAGTGTTTTTCCACTGAACAACCTTCTTGTTTGAGGCAACTACATGATAAATGTGAAAGGATTGGGAGTTGACATTTGTTCAGGTTTTGCTTTTACCCGGGTTAGAATGAAGCGTTGAAATGATTGTTAGAGTAAAAGGCTAAATGACATTAACATGAAAATACTTATCTGATATCATAAAAGCAGACGATAAATAAATTTTTAAAAAAAGTTAATATAAATCGCTTTATATTTAACTTATATATGACTTATTTTATAAATTACTTGTAGTACATTTCTTATTTTATATTTTACTTATATTACTTATATATTTATTATATTACTTGTACAGTGTAACCCGGATATAAGAGACCCGGATATAAGAGAAACCCGGATATAAGAGAGTTTTTCTCTGGTCCCAAATTAGAGCCTGCGTTAATGTATATAAAATAGACCAAACACGGATATAAGAGAAACCCGGATATAAGAGACTTATCTCTTATATCCGGGTTACACTGGATATTAAATATATTTCAAATATATAACTTATATTATATATTACTTATATATTAATTATATTAAATATATATAACATATATTATATATATAATACTTATATTACTTATATATTATTATTTATATTATAGTATACTTATATTACTTATATTATATACTTATATATATTGCTTATATTACTTATATATGAGATATATTATTATATATTTACTTATGTTATATATTATATTACTTATACATTTCTTATATTACATATATATTAAATATATTACTTATATTACTTATATATATATATATATATATATATATTAATTATATATATATATATTATATATTTATATATTACATATATTACTTATATATATTAATTATATTATATATATATATATTACGTATATTAATTATATATATCTTACGTATATTATATTAAAAGATTAAACATATTACTTAGATATATTATCTATATTACTTATATATTAGATATATTACTTATATATTACATACATTATATATATTAATTATATTACTTATATATATATTGCGTATATTATATTAAATATTACATATATATACTTATATATTTATTTATATTACTTTTTTATATATTGTTTATATGATTATATATAACTTATATTATTTATATATTTCTTATATTTCATAAATATTAAATATATTATATATATTATATATATTCATATATATTACTTATACTACTTATATATTATTATATTAAAATATTAGATATATTACATATATCTTAATTATATATATCTTACGTATATTATATTAAATATTACACATATTACTTATATTTTGACGTATATTACTTATTTCATATATCATTTATATGACTTATATATTACTTATATAACTTATATATTATTTGTATTACTTATAAAAATTTTATATTGCTTATATATTAAATATTATACTTATACATTACATATATGGCATATATTAATTATATTACTTACATATTACACACATTTTTATATATTACTTATATTACATAATACATTACTTATATTATTGTACAAATTTATTTTTTTCCAACATTTGTGTTATAATCAGATGCCAGGCAAATAACCAATGACACAGGGGTAAGCGAATGACAAATGGCGTGATTTTTTTTCTTGCTTCTTCTTAATTAAACAAAATACAAATATTAACAAAAAAGTGTAAAGGAGCTGTTAGTTCAATAGCTCTGGAAGCGTTACCGGAAATATACCGAAAATATACCGAATATTATTTACTTCTCATTTTTTTGTGCGATAACGTTTCTTCTTCGTTTTCAAATAATACCGTGTTAGTATCAAGCTACACTCATCTATGAACCACAGTTGACTTATATTTTGCAATGAAAGTTCGCAGATGTAAGGCAATTGGCGAATTTCAACAAGGGCAAATAATAAGATGGCATCAAAGACATAGAGAAGTTGCTAGGTTTTGTCCAGGGTTAATCATCAAACGGTTAATAATATTATCAATAAATTTAAGAGAGAAGGCCATTGACGTGTGGAACAACGTTCAGGAAGACCAAGCATCGTGTCTAAGGGAAGGAAAAAGCGCCGAAGAGGGAAGTCATCAGAGATCGTTGTCAGAGCGTCAAAACTGTCGCAACAGCATGGAAATATCGCCATATGCGGTGAGAAAAACTTTGAAAAAGGCTAAGCTATCAAAGAAGATTTGCAAGAAAGGTGTATGAACTGAGTGAAAGAATTCGAGAGCAAACGATTATGAATTTTGGCAGTCTGTAATTTGGTCAGATGAAAGTAAATTCTGCCAATATTCAAATTCGAGAGAGGTTTATGTTTGGAGAAATGAGAATGAGACTTGGAACACTGAATGTCTGCAGACGACCATGAGATATGGAGAGATTAGAGCAATGGTGTTGGGCGCTGTCTGGTCTGCAGGGAAATCTGAGCTGATTTTTGTTGACGAGCAGTTGAATAATCCAAAATACTGTCAAATATTAGAGAAATGACTACTGCCACCATTTGAAACCAATCAGATTGACAAGAGTGTCTACCTTTATCAAGAAGATGGAGCGCCATGACATTCGAGCAGAGTAGCAAAGGCTTGGAAGGAAGATGTCACCAACAGCATGAAGATATCGCCATATGCAATAAGTAACACACAGAGAGTTAGTCTATCAAAGAAGAGTTGCAAGAAAGAAACCCTTGATTTCAGAGGTTAACAGGAACAGGCGTATAGACTGGGCAAGAGAATTCGAGAGCAAAATTTATGAAGTTCAGCTGTCTGTATTTTGATCAGATCAGAGTAAATTGTGGCAATATTCGAATTCGGGACAGGTTTATGTTTGGAGAAATTAGAATGAGACTTGGAACACTAAATGTGTGCAGGTGACTGTGAAACGTGAAGTAATGGCTTAGAGGGAATTCTTGAAGTTGATTCTTGTTGACGAGCGATTGAATGCTCCAAAATACTGTCAAATATTAGAGAAAGGACAACTGCAACTATCAGATTCACAAAACTATACACCTTTCTCAAGAAGATGTAGCGCCATGTCATACGAGCAAAAGAAGCACAGGCCCGGAAGGAATTGCAAGGAATCAAGTTACTGCCATGGTTAACCCAAAATCTGTCATGAATACAATGGAGCGCGTAAAGGAGCGTCTTGACCAAAGACTTCTACAGGGTGCAACGAAAATCACGTGAGTGGTAACCCTTAAAGAAACAGTGCTAAAGGAGTGGCAAAATATGGATCCGACGATTGTTGATAACTTGATCAAATCCATGAAAAATCGAAAACAAGTACTGGACTTAGCAAATGGAGGACCTACTCCATTATAGTTACAAATACTGTTTATTTATGTTGAGTTGGGATTACGTATTTTAATTTTTGAAATTGGATATAGTTTATTTCTCAAGGCTAAAAACATTTTTGGCCACTGTATATAGTGCTTCTGATTTTTATTTATCAGTCTATATTTCTGGTATAAGGTATTGTCCGTATTTCCAACGACACATGGCCCAGGGTTGAATCCAGTGACTAGACCCAAGGCAGTTGTGAATTCAATACCTGGCTCCAACTGAAGTGAACAGAAACTGGTTGAGTTGAACTGATACTGAGACACCCGTAAGAAACATGGAACTAGAACAATCTACCACTAGGGGCGAAATAAAGGGTTCAGTTCGAAATATAATGCTATGGAGTATAGTTTTTGGATTAGGAAATTCAAATTTATTTCTTCGATTTACCAAGGAATCAAAGTTAACGTTCGTGATGTGAAGTTTTCACGTTCCGCAGAGTTTGTGATTTGAATTGCTCAACTCAATTGAATTTCCACATGACGTCACACATGACTACACGAGAGTGAATTGTAGAATGAAGTATGGAAAGTCGTTGGTATAAACCAATAGCTTCTGTTACCAATTATATAATTATGTGACGTCATGAGATGCGGTGCGATTTTCGCTTCTAGCGTCTTATATGCGCGTGTTTATCGTTGCTTAGTGATTAACTATGTAAACAATGACAGACTATCATCACTGTCGTGTCCGTATATTGTTTAATATGTTTGTGATTTACATCTTTGATAATGGCTTAAGTAAGCCGAAAGCTTAGATTATATTAAAAAATATGGATCAATAAAAAAAATATGGATCAATATTGTGAATTTCTTTCTTCGTTTAATGATAATGTTATCAAACTTATCAGATGTTACGAACAAATTTTACATAAAATAAATAGACAACACTTGTCTATATTATTTAATGAAACGTGTATAAATGAAAATATTCTGCCTAAATACATACAATATATTGTATATATATACATTTATTGCATATATATACATATATTATATATATACATATAATGCATATAAATACATATAATGCATATATATATACATATAATGCATATAATGCTTATATATATATATTTACATACATATAATGCATATATATATATATATATATATATATATATATATTACATTACACATTGTTATTCTTTCAAAACCCATTGCCCTAATTGTTCAGATATCTTAATTCCATTTCGTTAGTAGATCTGTTACTGCCATCTAGCGGCAACTTTCGCATCAGTAACAGGCAACTGTACAGGATATTAAAATCAGGTGGACGGCATGACATGAAAAGAATTGACTCGTCTTTGTTTAATCACACAAAGGTTGCCCGAGTTACGCAAAATAAATTAGACATGCAATGGGACAACGTAAAAGAGAGAGAGAAAGAGAGAGAGTGAGAGAAAGAGAGAGAGGGGGAAGGGGGAAGAGACAGGCAGTGGCGAAGGGTAAAAGACAGACAGATAGTCAAGCAGATAGAAGGGACATGGAAGATGATCAAAACGATAGTAAAAGAGAGAGGCCGAAAGAAAAGGAAAGAGACACATAGAGAGAGGGGGAGGAGAGAAAGAGAAAGAGAGAAAGAGAAAAGGAAAGAGGGAAAGAGAGACACAGACAGATAGAATGGACACAGATGATGATGAAAATGTCGGAGAAGAGCGACAGAGACACAGAAAGAGAGACAGATAGGCAATGAGAAAGAGAGAAAAGGAGAGAAAACTAGAGAAAGGAAGAAATATATTAAAGAAAGTTAGTGAAAGACACTTAGAGAAAAATAGATAAAGAAATAGAGATAGTAAAAGTCAGAGACTGAGAGAAAAGTAAAGAGAGAAAAAGAGAGAAAGGAAAAGAAAGAAAAGAGAGAGAGAGAGAGACAGACAGACCGGCAGATGGAAGGAACAGAGAAGATGGTGAAAATTTCCGAGAAAGAGATGGAGAAATAAAAAGAAACAGATAGGCGATGAAAAAGAGACAAAAACAGAGAAAACGAGAGACAGAAAAAAAACATATTAAAGAGACATAGAGAAGGTGATTGAGAGAAAAAGAAATAAAGAAATAGAGACAGTAAAAGAAAGAGACGGAGAGAAAAGGAAAGAGAGAAAAAATAAGAGCGGGAAAGAAATATTAAAGAGAGAGTAATATGTCGGGGGAAAGTAAAATCAGAAAGAAAGATGAAGAGGTGAAGACACTGATATATATATATATATATATATATATATATATATATATATATATATATATAGAGAGAGAGAGAGAGAGAGAGAGAGAGAGAGAATATGTGTGCTTGAAAAAGAGAGTATGTGTGTTTTTAGAGGGAGAAAGTGTGGGGGTGAAAGAGAGAGAATGTGTGAGGGAGAGAAATAAATTAAAGAGAGAAAATGAAAAGCAGCGACAAATCGCATGAAAAATAATAAAAAAAAAGACCTGCAGATAGAAAGATTTACAGTATATATATATATATATATATATATATATATATATATATATATATATATATATATATATATGTATAAAGAGATATATATATATATAGAAATTATAAATATATACAAAGGGAAAAGAGAATGAGAGAAATAGGGAATGGATGAATAAGAGAATAAACAGAGAATAAGAGAATAAGAGAATAAAATATAATACAAAAGAGAATAAGAGAAATAACAGAAATGAAATATATACAAAGATAAAAATGAAATAGGGAATGGATGAATAAGAGAATAAACAGAGAATAAGAGAATAAGAGAATAAGAATAAGAATAAGAATAAGAGAATAAGAGAAATAACACACAATATTTGAAATGTAAATATATACAAAGAGGAAAGAGAATGAGATAAATTGAAATAGGGAATGGATGAATAAGAGAATAAACAGAGAATAAGAGAATAAGAGAATAAGAATAAGAATAAGAATAAGAGAATAAGAGAAATAACACACAATATTTGAAATGTAAATATATACAAAGAGGAAAGAGAATGAGATAAATTGAAATAGGGAATGGATGAATAAGAGAATAAACAGAGAATAAGAGAATAAGAGAATAAGAATAAGAATAAGAATAAGAGAATAAGAGAAATAACACACAATATTTGAAATGTAAATATATACAAAGAGGAAAGAGAATGAGATAAATTGAAATAGGGAATGGATGAATAAGAGAATAAACAGAGAATAAGAGAATAAGAATAAGAATAAGAATAAGAATAAGAGAATAAGAGAAATAACACACAATATTTGAAATGTAAATATATACAAAGAGGAAAGAGAATGAGATAAATTGAAATAGGGAATGGATGAATAAGAGAATAAAAATGTTTGACAAAAGGAAAGCGTAAGAGAAGTAGAAAGAGACTGATAGGTAATAAGTAAAAAGAGAGGGTTTATAAGGGAACGAATTGTTCGGCAAGAAAGAGAGAGAGGGAGAGAGAGAGAGAGAGAAAGAAAAAGATTGAGAGATATTTAGAAAGTGGAGAGACTCGAGGGAGAGGGAGAGAGGTACGAGCAAGAAAGAAGAAGTGCAACGGAGTTCCGGTTTGTTTAATTAATTAATTAAGTTGATCAAGGTGACAGGAAGGTTATATCTTGCCAGATATCGCCCAAGGGGTGAGAAGAGAAAGCGAGACTAAAGCAATAGGCAAATAGTGAAGAAAGGAAAGGATAAAATCGTATGAAACATGAATGGAAAGGGAGAATCATTATAAAAAAAATCAAGAAAATAAAGAAGGCTAGTAAAAGGCACAGAAAGGTATTAATAGCAACAATCGATTGTTTCATTAGGAATTAACATAGCAATTTTATTGAAAATGTAAAGCGGTAAACGAACTGGCAAGGAATAATTCAAAGCAATGGAGATACAGGAATTAAACTGGTTCTTTTAAGGAAATAAATATAATAAGGACAGGAAATAATTGCAAAGAATATGGAAAAATGAGAATTAAATTTTTTTGCGGTGGGGGCGTGGAGAAATATGGGAAATCTATCTATTATATTTAAATTTACAGCAAAAAGTAGGAAAGAAAAGCTAGGAGAAATATCTAAACACTAAGTGTAACGAGACAGAATATATGATTTTCAGGACAAAGAAACAGACCAACATGCAAACGTTAATTTGCAGTATAAGCATCAAAATCCCCTCCTCCTGGTATTGCGAATGTTCTGGAGCAATAGATAGCGGATCGGATTAAGGAATCGAAGAGCCGATTTCGAATTCCAGTTGAATCCATTGCATTCACTTACTTTTCTAATACCCAGCTATGGGTAAAACTGCAGGACAGACCGGGTTGGATGAAAACCTGGTATACCACAGAAGGAAATGGCAATCTGCTGATACGAAAGATACATGATCGCCTAAGCGTGTATCACGCATGGCACATAACTGACTGACCATTCTGGTGTGTAATTAACTGGTTATTTCGAAAATGACATTAAACAATCGCGTTCGATCACCGTTTAAAAGTTATGGACAATGTCAATTCGACTTCTTTCTCGTCGCGTACACAGAACGTCCGGCATTACTGGCTTTGTTTACATACGTTTTCCTCGAGAAGTGATGTGGTGTGGAAGCCTCACTATTCTCGATTACTGCGCAATACGCAAAATTTGAAATGAATGCGTGAAATAACGCACGATAAAACGTAAAATCCGACAATGAAAATAAAATAAAATAAAAATTGCCTGCTTGAAAAGTAAAAAAAAAATAAAAAAAATTCAATGATGTTTTTCTGTGTGTTGTGAATTTTCTTGAATTTAAATCTTCATTAATTACATTTTAGGGTGTGATTCTGTTTCATTAGCTATAAGCAGATTTATTAAGGACAATAAAAAAATACTATTCATTTAAAACTTTATTTTAAAAAATAAACACTTTTTAAAATAACATCCGCGACAATCGCGCAATAATCAATATCAGAAAAGCTGTAAAAAGGCCATTAACTAAGTAAGCTTCCGCGTATATCTAGTAGATGAAAATGTATAAAAACCAAGCCAGTAATGGCGGCTGGACAACATGAAAAAGGTCGAATTTGTATTGGTGATAAATCGAAAACGGTAATCAAGCGCTATTTTTTAATGTTATTTTCGAAATAAGCAGGCAATTTCCCACCAGAATGGTACATTCTCAATACGGGGGCCTTTTGGTGTTTATACTGCAAAATAACCCACGTAAATTACAAATTTGAGATACAGTTAGAAATAGTCTGCACTCTCCAACTTCTCTCCAACAAGTGGGATATTTCAAGCCTCTCACTGCTTTATCACTACTTTCAGGGAAAGTGCTGGGAAGAGGTTCCACCAATTTAAAACTTCACGGGAAGGACATGCAATGCCAGTTACATACTAGCAAACCACCAAAATTCATTCCGTATTACATCGGCGAGAAATAAGTTCCACTCGGACAGCTTCTTCCTGCGAACCACTGCTCCGTGAAATCGGCTCCCAAGAAGATGATTCACCAATCACTACCATCTTAATCTTCCATTCTTATCCACACAAATTACCTCCTAACGTATCCCTCTACCTCGAGTGCCCCCGCGCCTTGTAAACGGTCGACCTTACTGTAAATCAAAATGTGGATGAGTATAAGAAATAATTAAAAATAATATGGAAAATTAGAATGATTTTTTTTTAATTTTACGTTATTATATTTAATTTTTTATGTATATATTTCCTTTATTTGGAATACAGAGAAAAAAATAAGGGAACTAACTGGACTGAAGACATGCTCATCAACACGCTGCATAAATTCCAAGGACGAACGCTCATATTATGAAAGAAAAATTCTTCAGCGCTGGAATGAATATATTGGAAATTTCCACGAGGAAAGAGAACAACCGGAAATAGACAGAAATATCGACGGGCCAAAAATATTAAAAAAAAACTGAAGTGGAAGCTACCCTGGCCAAATTGAACAAAAACAAAGAGGTAGGGCCAGGCGGAATTGTAACAGAGATACTGGCATGCTTAAATGATATTGGCATAGTAAAAATTACAGAAATAATAAATTAAATCAACAACAGTCGTGACATAACGGAAGACCTCAGCAGAACTATTTTCATAGCACTGCCTAAGAAACCTGGTGCAAACGAATGCGAACTCCACCAAACAATCAGCCAAATAACAAAAATCATCATCCGAATTCTGATAAATATAGAGCGCAGTAGAATCAGGTCAGATATAGGACAAGAACAGTACGGGTTCGTTAAAGACACTGGAACGAGGAATGCAATATTCATACACAGAATATTATTAGAAAGAGTAATACAAATACAGAACATGAGCTTGTTTTTTATAGACTACGCAAGGGCGTTCGATAAAATACGCCACAAAGATCTGTTAGGGCTGCTCAGCAACATTAATGAATTCGGGAAAGACATCAGAACAATCAAAAATCTCGACTGGCGGCAAACCGCTTTCATATGGATATAAAATGAATCCAGCAGGTATACAAAAATAGAAAGGTGTGTAAGGCAAGGGTGTGTCTTCTCACCGGAATTTTTCAACTTATACAGCGAGGCAATTCTGAGAGAACTGGAAACCCTATCAGGATTCATCATTGGCTTAACAACATATGATATGCAAATGACACAGTGCTGACAGCGGACATGGAAAGGAAACTACAAAATTGTCTACAGAAGGTAGCGAAAGAGAGCCAGAAGAAGGGACTAAGCATAAACTACAAAAAGACAGAATGCATCGTCATCAGTAAAAACTTGAGTGCAAAATGCAATTTAGAGGTCGAGTACACTAAAATCAAAAAGGTACAGAAATTTGAATATCTGGAAGTATTCTAACAGTTGACGGAAAGTGCAACACTGAGATCCGAAGACGTATTGGTATGGACAAAGATGCATTCCAAAAGCTAAGCAGAGTATTAAGAGACAGGAAAATTTCGTTGGAAACAAAGAGAAGAGTACTAAACTGTTGCCTGATATCTGTCTTCCCATATGGCAGTGAATATTGTACAATCTCCTCAAAGATGAAGAAGAGACTTGAGAATGAGGAAACTTATACATAACAACAGGAAGAGGCAGTTGAAATTTCCTTGACACGTACTGATGAAAGAGGGCTTGAAAAGTCTGATTGTCACGTGACGGATAGAGTGGGGAAAAGGGACAGAGGAAAACAATGCGTGACACACTTCATGTGCTTGAGAAAGTGGATGACAGAACAGGGTCAGGGAGAAATAAAAAGACGAAACTTATTAAGAGCTGCAAGGAACAGGAAGAAGTAGAGGGCCATGATCGTCTACATTCTGAAGGGACAGAGATCAGAAAGGAAGATATTTAAATTACTTCGAAAAGTAGGAAAGGAAAGCAAGAAGAAAGGACTAAACACCAGGTGTAAGAAGACAATATATGCTTGTTATCAAAATGCGAAAGCCTAACACGAGAATTACGAATTGGAGATGTGAAAATGAATCAAGTGTAAATGTTTTAAACATCTACGGAGTGTTTTCAAAGAGGGCGAAAAATACAACTACCGAAATCCGAATGCGCACTGGAATAGCGATAGATGCCTTTCTAAAGCTAAGCAAACTATTAAGAAAAAGAAAAATTCCGTTAGAAATATAGAAAAGTGTACTTAACTGTTAATCTAATATCGACGTTACTTAGATGAAGAAGAGACCAACCAGAAGAAAGAAGGGTGCGTGGGGTTACAGAGAGAATATTACGGACTGAGCACGTGAGCAACGACAAGTTTCAGAGAAAATGAAAATAAAAAAGCACATTTAATCTAAACATTAGAAAGAGACAGCTGAAATTCCGAGAGCACATGACGAGTAAAGAGGGCTTAGAAAATATGACACTCACAGGAAATATTGAAAGCAAGAGGGTCAAATGAAAGCATCGCATAACATACGGCAAGAGGATTAAGATATAGAGCAAAATTACAAAGAAGTAAAACGGACAGGAAAATGTGGAGAGCTATGACCGCCTACTTTCTGAAAGGACACGACACGTAAAAGAAGATATTTATTATAGGTGTATATAACGAACGATTTAAGTTAGGCAGAAACGCACAGTCTTGATAGTAAACATAGAAAAACAAGAGTACTCATATACAAGCGAGGTAATTAATCATGAACAAAGGACTATTATATATAAGATAACAGAATAAGATTTTCAAAGGCACTGTGTGGACGATGAACATAGACGGAAAACTAAGAGAAATCTGAAACAAGATAGGAAGTTAATGCAAGAACAAAGGTCTATTAATTATCAGATAAGGTGAGGTTACGTTTTCCACTGACATGAAATACAGAGGCTAGATTGAATCTGTTGCTATGTCTAATTCTGAGAAACTTTACTGTGTCGTGCCAGAAATTCTTTTACGTCAAAAGCCATCTTACACATTTATGAAACTACGATTCGTCCGTGCATCGAATATTGCTATCATATCTGCTCCAGTGTCGTATATCTCGAGATTCTTGAGAAAATTCATAGAAAAAGATTTGTAATGTACTCAATCCTGACCAGGTATTTCAACTTTAGTCACTTACGTGATATGTCGTCCCTCTGTTATTTCTACAAATGTTCATGGAAATTGTTCTGATTAGCTTTTCGACCTAGTGCCTCGACCAAATGATTCTTAGCTTGCTGTTATTGGCCGCTTGGTCTTACTGTTTTATTTTTGAACTCTCTTTTCTCTTAGGCTGTCTATCATTGCTGATGACCACGCTGTCCATCCATCTCCGTCCGTCTTGTGTGGGCTGCCCCAGCCCGAACTGCGAACGACAAGTTCTCGGGTATAGGTGGCAGTGAAAACATGTCCGGTGCGATTGTTGAACTAGGTAGATGAGAAAAAGACACTACAATTCTACCGGTTTCTTTTCTCGCAAATATGGAACTGTTTTCCGATTTCTTTCTTCCATGACAACTACAGTCTTGAAAATTTTAAATGCAACATCAATCGCCATCTTCTGTATAAATGAATCATTTTCCTTTATTATTCTTTCCTTATATCTCTTCACTGAAATCTTCTCATTCTCTTTCACTCTCTGTAAGTCCCCACCGAGTATAAGTAGCATTATCGCCTTGTTTGAGGTGAAACCTACAGTCAAATCTCATGAAAACAGAAAGTATATATATATATATATATATCAATTTACATAGTTGTAAAACTAAACTTGGGTAATGACGCGGAATTGTTCATCGGAGAGTCGAATTCCGATTCAAGTTCGGTTCGTTCTATTCACTTACGTGTAAATAGCATTTGGAAAGGTATGAATCCACGTCTTCTCCCTTTAGCTATGGGTTTAATCTGGCTTTAAATAACCTGCAAAGGGTTGATAACCCATTTTAAACGAATCAAATTGTGATTAGGCATGAATTTCAGATTTATTTAAGTTCTCTGAAATATAGATGTATAGAAATGACCTTTCTAGGGCTCAGTTTACATATTAATTACAATACAAAATTGGTCCTCCATTTTATATAACATTATAATATAAATTAAAACATTATAAATCTTATATATAATAAGATGAATTCACCTCATCCCCTATAGCTATGGGATAATTAGCAATACATGTTTTTGAAGCATTTCACCCCAAGCAAGGCAAGAGTGCCACTAACACGCAAGCGGCTACAGAGAGTGAGAGCAAGAGGGGTGTTTAAGGAAAGGATATAGAGAAGGATGGGGATCAGGATCAAGGCATCAGCATATGTCGATTGATATTACATTTGAATATTTAAAGATTATAGCTTTCAGGAAAGCAATTTAGCAGAAGGGTGTTCCACTGTCGGGAAGTGCGAGAGAAGAAGCTGTTGGAGTAGATGAGGCAGTTATATTTAATCATTTCAACAGTGAATGGGTGGCGCTGAGATACCAACCTAGTAGCACGCTTAAATTCATTCTAGTCTGAATATTTCATGGAATAATAGTAACTCATTGCAATCCATTTCCCTTGTAAGCTATTTGCAATGCATTCTTATAGTAAGACATTTGTGATCAAAACAACAAAGATTAGGATACTAGTCTGAATAATTCCTGGAATAATGCATTTTTATAGTAACTGATTTACAATTCATTTTCCTTGTAAGCTATTTGCAATGCATTTCTGTAGTAAGATATTTGTGATCAAAACAACAAAGATAAGGATACTAGTCTGAATAATTCATCAAATAATCCATTTTTATAGTAACTCATTTGCAATCCATTTCCCTTATAAGCTATTTGCAATGCATTCCTATTGTAAGACATTTGTGATCAAAATAACAAAGATGAGGATACTAGTCTGAATAATTCATGAAATAATGCATTTTTATAGTAGTTCCTTTGCAATCCATTTCTCTTGAAAGCTATTTGAAATGCATTCCTATAGTAAGACATTTGTAATCAAAACAACAAAGATGAGGATACTAGTCTGAATATTTCATGGTGTTTTTTATAGTAAGCTATTTGAAATCTATTTTATATATTTGTGATTCAGTTTCATATCTCAACAACTTCATATTGGTGTCTTGGATTTGACATCAGTTCATACTCTCAGTGGCATGTTGTCGGCGTGCTTGTAAGGAAACATTTTGCTGAAATGGCTAAAACTATTGCCAGGTACGCGGTGAAACAGGAAATATTACTGATACTACAAAAACTATCGATGATTTCGTACGTCAATTTTTGAAAATTCGGAATGATGTGAAGACGAAAATATTTCAACTGAGCGAAGATAAATTACATACTCGTGTTCGACTTAAGTATTACCATCACTATTCAACACTGCAAATAGATGCATGAATAATTAATTCATCGCAAAATCCTTGGCAGATAGAAACAAACCAGGAAATATACGTTTGAAGTTGATGTAAACTAGCAGATGTTTCAACCTTGAAATTGCATCGTCGTGAATATTGCTGTCAGAACTAGACTTTGGCTTTAGCTATATATTTAGAGACCCTTAGGCATGTCGCCACATCACGTTGAAACACCGTACGCTTTACGATCACTGGAGTTAAGCAACGTCGAGCCTGATCAGTAGATACAGTACGATGCAAGAAAAATGAACGCAGCAATAGAGACTAGGGCGCTGGTAAACCCAATTAAAAAAATAACGTTTGGAGAGAATTTTCAGCATCAATATCACAATATTCTTGTTAATCAAATGTGGCTTTCTGTCCTAGTTTAACGCTTTACTTTCCAACACGATATCGATCCTGAGTATACTGCCTTAAAGAATAAACGTTATCTAGAGAGGAAGAGCGACGAGGGTAAATTGCAACTCTTCCTGTGGCCGAGTCACAGTCCTGACCTTTATCCCAATTGAAAACCTTTGCGCGATAATGGACATGCGTGCCCGTAATAGAAAAGTTAACACAGAAGATGAGCTTTTTCGTGAATTAAAGAAATTCTAGAATATCTGGCGATGGAAGTTTACTTACAAAGTTATGTAGTCTATAGCATGTCTTGAAGAATTAAAGCCGTTATCAATACAGGTGTACTTATGTACATTATACAAGACAAAATATGATTTAGTAATGATAACGATCCTAATCATACTGTCTTAAAAAATAAACGTTATCCAGAGAGAAGTTGAGACGAGGATAATTTGCAACTCTTCCAGTGGCCTAGCCAGAGCCCTGACCTTGAACCCAATGGAAACATTTCGGCGATAATGGACATGCGTGCCCGTAATAGGAAAGTTAACATAGAAGATGAGCTTCTTCGCAAAGTAAATGAATGCTGAAGAAATCTGGAGAAGGCCGTTGACTTACTAGAGTATTTAGTCTATAGCATGCCACGAAGAATTAAGTCCATTATTAAAGCAAAACTTTACCCTACAAAATACTAAATCATTTATTTGACTTGTATAATGTAAATATAGATACTTGTATTAATACCCTATGTGAGTTTTTCATTATCTATCTATCTATCTATCTATCTATCTATCTCAGGCTTTTCATATCTCTCTCTCTCTCTCTCTCTCTCTCTCTCTATCTAGCTATCTATCTATCTAGCTATCACAATCACTTCATATCTATCTATCTATCTCTGGCTGTTCATATCTATTTATTTCAGTCTATTCGTATCTATCTATTATAGGATGTTTATATCTATCTCACTCCTTTCTTATCTCTCTATCGATCTATCTCAACATGTTCATATCTATCTATCTATCTATCTATCTATCTATCTATCTATCTATCTATCTATCTAACTCTCTATCTATCTATCACAATCACTTCATATCTATCTATCTATCTATCTATCTATCTATCTATCTATCTATCTATCTCAGGCTGTTCATCTCTCTCTCTCTCTCTCTATCTATCTATCTATCTATCTATCTATCTATCTATCACAATCACTTCATATCTATCTATCTATCTATCTATCTATCTATCTATCTATCTATCTATCCCAGGCTGTTCATATCTCTCTCTCTCTCTCTCTCTATCTATCTATCTATCTATCTATCTATCTATCTATCACAATCACTTCATATCTATCTATCTATCTATCTATCTATCTATCTATCTCAGGCTGTTCATATCTCTCTCTCTCTCTCTCTCTCTCTATCTATCTATCTATGACAATCACTTCATATCTATCTATCTATCTATCTATCTATCTATCTATCTATCTATCTATCTATCTGTTTTCTGTATATATATGTAGAGAACTGATGTCGTGGGTATGACGATAGACTACATCCGATAGCAAGGCCTCTGATCGGGAGATAGGATGTCTTGAGTATTGTAGACCACCTCTTAATTGCTGTTGTTGCCAGGTCCACCCTGACCTTGGATGGTAGCACCTGCTGGGGGACAAATAATAAATAAAAGTCAAAAAATGATCGATAACGATCCTAATCATACTACCCTTAAAGAATAAACGTTTTCTAGAGAGGAACCACGAGGCGAGGGTAAATTGCAATTCTTCCAGTGGCCTAGTCACAGCCCTGACCTTAACCCAAATGAAAAGCTCCGGGCGATAATGGACAAGGTTTCCGTCGTAGGAAAGTTAACACAGAAGATGAGCTTCTTCGGGAATTAAAATAATGCTGGAAAAATCTGGCGAAGTTGAGTTACTAAATAATTTAGCCTGTTGCGGGTCGTGTGAGTCTATATATGCGTTGTGAAAGGAAACACGTGTGTACTCCTGGAAAGAAAATACCCACAATAAATAAGGCAGATTCGGACAATGGGTCCCCCAAAAATGAATATAAAAGAAAACAAGAACGGATATATATGGACAAATTTTAGAAAACGAATCAATCAATTAATTAAATATTCTTAGTAAAATTTATAGACGAATAAGCAATGTTTTCGGTCCTGACCTTGCATCTCAGTATTTACCCAAGACCTCCTAACAAGGTGGGATGTGGCACAAGGCCGTTTTTAACTTGGAGCGATTTCGTGCCCATAGTATCTTGTCTTCAAAGAATATTTCCACTGCAATTAATTAGCTTCCCTATGCATTTTCATGTCAATTGTTTTAATGAGCTTTCCTTTTTTGGTATATCGACTTTACGCATTGCAGGTCAATACTAGATAGACAATTAGGTCTCATCCTTATGCAGTTTAAATGGCTAAATGTAACAGATTCTGTTCTCGCACTTCATGATTGTGGATCTCTCTTCCGGCCTCTTACTTTCCAGTCAACTTTGATCATCAAAAAAAAATAAATAAATAAATAAATAAATAAACGCAATATCAATCGTTATCTTCTATCTTCTTAATTCTGGTACTTTTATTGTTCTCACACCTTAATAACGCTCTTCTTTTTCTTATATTCTTTCGCACTCCGCTTGCGTCATAGTGGCTTCATTGCCTTTCTTGGTGTGAAATGATTAATCAAAACGATGTATAGAGAGGTGATATCGAAAGATGTTCTGTGCTTAGAAATGTGATAAAAGCGAACAGTGATTACAACCTATTCTCACATAACCACCGGATACCGATGCAACGACCGCTTCAAAAATATTGATATATATATATTTTAAGAATAATTATTTCCTTTTTGCAAATGAATGTGGCATTAACACTTCTTTGGATATTTTTCGTGACAGAATCCTACTATTTACATTTTTCGGACTTTTGTTCTCATCTTTGCTACCATATTCAAGACGTTTCGGCCGTTGTACATTCCGGTCTTTATCAGTTAATTGGGATTTCCAAAGACCCTTTATTTCGTCCACCGGGGTAGATTGTTCTAGTTCCACGTACTAGAACAGTCTACCCCAGTGAGCGAAATAAAGGGTTGAGTTCAACCACCTGAAGAAGGCCGGAGCGTACAACGGTCGAAACATTGTAATAATTATGTCGAGAAAGATGAGGACAATAGTCCGTATAATGTAAATAGTGTTCTTAATACTTTGCTTAGATTTTTTTCTGTTGCCTGTTATTGCACGATACTGAAAATGAAGTTGACTTTTGGGTTTCCATATTTTTCATTCTCCGGCTTCATTTCATAGTTCACTTTTCAAACAAATCTTTATATTTTTATTTGTTTCATTTTTCGCCGTTTCTTCAAACATTCATATATAAAGATTTCCTTTCCCTCCAATTATCCTCAAGAATTTGTCTGTGTCCACCACCCAAAAAGTTCGAGCAAAAATATTATTTTTACGCTTACACTGGAATTTTAAACAAAAGTCATCAATTTCTCCAGTATTCAAGTCCTCACACATGGCACATGTAATCCGAGCTTATCTCTATTGTCGAACGATATAGAAATATTATATAATTCCCCAATTATGGACATGAAGTATACATCTAGATAGATTATAAATTACCTGACAATCTTTTTCTGATTGTTGCTTAAAATTCGATACCTCACGACTTTTAATCGGCCAATTTACTCGAAACACTTTATTAAATATAAGATAATTGAACTTCTTGTCGTTATCTTGACAAGAAATGTCTGTTCTTGTTGAAGTTTTAATAATTGCCTAAAATACTGGTCATCAAGATTTCTTATTTTCTATTCGCAAAATTTTCTCGCATTTATTTACGTACTAGCAGCTGACCAATCAGAAAAAGCATTCAATTAGAATGGAGCAAAAACAGCATCATGTTTAGATATAACAGTTTGTTTCTTCATTTACTTTAAAGTACTTTCATTAAAAAATCATTTTGAATTAATGCAGTTTCTGATATAAAAGATGTCGTCTGTATCGAAGTTCACCGATAACAACAAGGGATAAAACAGGTAACATAAAGACCCACTTCAGACCACAATTATTTCGAAAGTTTTTTGAAATTTAATATGTCTGTGTCCTATCAGGGGTGTAAAAAATATACTTGTATAAAGCAATTGTTTAGTTTGATGAAAATTGTTTGAAAGATCAACGAAAAATAAGAAAAAAACCAGTATAAAATCGCCATTTTTCGCTATTTACGCGGGTTTTCACTATATGGGTCGACAGAATTATCAAATTAAATGACCGTAAAACAATCCATTTACTGTTGGCTACAATAAGTCTTTATTAAATTGCTTGAAAATTTGAGGGATATTTTAGTTGAAAATGTGTGTTGAAATCGATTTTTGGTTTTTCGCGGTTTTTCGCTAAACGCAGTAGCGTAG